TGGCTGAGAAGAGCCTCCTCCCTAGGGGGGAGAGGTGGAGGCCATCCCTTCCCAGCAGCTCGCTGCCTCTCTCGCCAAAGAGCGGGCTGTGGTCATGAAAGCCAAAGCCTTCCTGACGACACCAGCGCTGCAGTCTTTGGTTGACCACATAGATCCTCCTGTTCCTTCTCAGCCCATAGCCTGAGACTGGGAGGATCGACAAGAACACTACCTGTGCCCCCAGACCCTTAAGCCCCGCTCCCAAATCCCTGTAGCGCCTCATGACCTGGCTGGGAGTGCTCCGAGCAGTGTCATTGGTGCCCACATGAATAAGGAGCATGGGATAGTGGTCTATGGGTTTAAGGAGCTTTGGGATCCTCTCCGTAATGTCCCGGATGCGGGCCCCCGGGAAGCAGCAGACTTGCCGGGCTAAGGGGTCGGGGTGGCAGATTGGCCCCTACATCTAGAGTATAGATCAAGGGTGGGCAAAATAAAGCCTGCAGGCTGAATTCAGCTCACCAGCTGATTGGATCCAGCCTGCAGGCAGACACTCACCAATTAATTATGTTTGGCCCTGTTGGCAAGTGCCTCTCCTGTGCTCTGCATGGGGCTGAGTCCCACCCACTCCTACCTGGAGCAGTGTTAGCTGTGCTCCCAGCCTCCCCCGCCAGAGGGCGCCAGTCCCGGCTAGCAGGCACTGCTTCCAGGCAAGGCTGCTGCTGCCACTGCCCAGGGAACTGCTGGGCTCCCCCAAATTCCAGTGATTCCTCCTCCTGTCCCTGCTGCAGTCATTTGGGCAGCAGGTAGGGAAGGGAAGCTACAGTGTGCAGGGGAGTAGAGTGGGGTCTGCCTGCAGCTCATTTTGGTGCTGCTTGTGCATGGCTAGTCAGGGGAGCTTGTGGATGGAGGAGGGGGCATGAAGAAGAACAAAGGAGCTGCTCACAAAGCCCCACTGGGCAAGCACAGGACAGGCAGCTGGGATGGGAGCAGCAGCAGGAGTCAGTACATCCCCGCTAGGGAGGCACAAGGACAGGCAGGTGAGGAAGGAGCAGCAGCAGGAGCCAACGTGTACTTGGTACTGCCCTGCTGGTTAGGCACAGGGGATGGAAGCAGAAGCAGCAACAGAAGCGAGCGCAGGCTTGGCTGTAGCCCTGCCAGGCAGGTGTGGGATAGAGACCAAGAGAGCCGCTGGTACCAAGCTCAGGTCCCTGTCTCCCCCTCCCTCAACCACACACACCATCTATGCCCCTCTACACCTCCCACACACGTACACCCACACCTCCACCCCACCATATCCACACATGCACCCACACGCCCTTACACAAATCACCCCTCCACTGTACCCACACACACATCCAACAGGCCCCCACATCCCAACCACACATCTCACACCCCCACACACATCCACACATACACCCCACACACATACCCCTCTCCACACAGACACCCACACAAACCCCACCTGCACCATACCCACACTCCATCCCCCGCAAGACCCACACACACCCAACAGTCCCACACATCCCACACCTCAACCACATCTACACCCCCCCACATACATCCTGCATCCACAATACACTCACACCTCACACATACCCACACACCCCCCCAATCACATACTCCTGCAACCACTCCCCTCACCCCTCTACACACAATATACAAGTAAACTCCACCCCACTCCCAAAAGGAGTACTTCCTAGACAAGGGGAGAGACTTCCAGTGGCAAAAGTCAGAGGTTAGGGGCAGGACCTCTGGTCATTAGATAGTAATCAGGGGGCGGAGCACCTATCAAGGGGCAGGGCTACCCTTGCAGCCGTTGATGCAACACCAAAACTCATTAAGCGGCCCTCCAGCTGAAATAATTGCTCACCCCTGGTATAGATTATAATAATTTCCAAATGCAAGTAAAAACTTCTGATATATAAGACCCTGAAAATTGGGTCTTATGAATCAGTATTTCTAATGGGAGTGCCAGCTTCTCTAGAGAAAGAAATTCAGAAAGCTCTAGTGGAAAAATTCTGAGAGCTATTTATGCAAGTGCCATCTTGTGCAAGTGGCAGGAGAGTGATAAAACCACTGGCAATGACTGACACCTGTGAAGACAGATAAGATGTAACCCTGCTTCCTTTCTGTTCTGTTAGGTGATTAGTACTAGAAGCACCACAGACTATATTCTTTTAAAAGTGCAGCAAATACCACCTCTGACTGGATTCTTTAGGTACAATGGAAGCATTTACTTGCCTCTGTATTTTACAGGTTAAATGCTTCTAGATACTTCCAACAGTGCATAGACCCTCCACATCCTTTCACATGACAATGGCTAATACAGCTACAATATAGACCCCAAAAAACAGAATACTAGTCCATGTTAAAACCCGTGTCTAATAATAGCAACAGATAACCTATGAAGTACTGAGGCACTGAAGTTTCAGTGACAGGTAGGCACAATGTAACAACAGTTTCCTAGATGGAAACCAAACTTAAGTATTAATACTTGCAGATGATATGCTGCCAACCCTACCTTACCGCACACCACCAAAATATAGTACTGCTTACAGAATGGGAATACAATCAGGAGAGACAGAACTATCAGTCTCATAAATGTACCAAACAAAATGGCTTGATTAATTTAAAACCAAGGAGTACAGATATTGGATATTTACCTCTTTAACAAATAAGTTTTCTGCTTTTTGTACTGCATCTTCAGGTACAGACAGGGAGAGTGTCCTTATTTCCCATGGAATTGTATCTATCTGAGAATAAGCAAACAACGAAAACGTTAGCTAGAAAATTTAAGGAAAAAAATAAACACTCATGTGCATAGAGGGGTTAAGAACATGTTTCTGTTCTTGTTTGCCTTCTGCCCCCACCATTCATGTCCTGACCTCATCTAACTATGTGTAAATAAGCAGCTTCCATTTGAGTAATTTTAAATGTATGGCATACATTATATAGGTCAGTACAAACATAGTGGAAATTTCCAGTTATCTCTTCATTTTGTTTGGGTGCGACTGAACAACTGTCAATATCTAGTCCTGGCAGTATTTTGTTTCTTTTGAACAGCTGTGACCATGTGTATGTTCACTGTTACCTTTTATGCCATCCAACTGCACCTATTACACAAGCAACTTTAGATTTCCCATCTAAGTATCTATTTGACTCATCCATTATGATCAAAATGAAACCCTATATTGTCCTAGGTCCATGCAGTTTATTCTTTTAAAAGCATTAAGAAAATAAAGTTGGGGTAGAAAAAATTATTAGGATATTAAATTCTGTGGCTGTATTTAGCCATAGTGAATGTCTATGATCTTTATTGGTTCAATGCTTCACTGAAGGGCAGTTCATCTAAAAAGTCAGTAGTATGTATGTATAGATGTCCATATTACATGGTATTTATAAACCCCAAATTACAAAACAGTCCTGAGAATTTTGCTCATATGGAGACCCTGACTTTATCAGGGGGCTGTCTACTCAATTCAGAGCTCCTTGGTGAATCAGTGGTCTGTTAACAGAATCAACAGCCACTCTGCCTACCAGCCACCGAGTTCTTAAATCGAAGTCCCATGATATCATCATTACTAAAGACCATATGCTATGCAAGATAATGATGTGGGTGGAACAGGTGTGGCTAGTAGAACTGAGGGCTGAACACCCTATTCTGCACCTAAGAACATTAGCATTCTGGTGACGTAGCTATAATGGTAAACCCAAACTCTTCTACTTAGTCAGCAGTGGAGCTGGTTTTTAGTGAAATTCAGTTACCACAGACATTCTACGGAAGAGAGAGTTTTGAATTATTTTACCAAGGCCAATCTTGAATAAACCTTAGGATTTATATAGTGCTTCTCCACCAAAAGATGTTAAGGCATCACACACAAACAACTATGCATTATTTTTCCCCATTTTGCAAGTAGAGAAACTGAGGCATAAAAATTAAATCAAAGTCGCATAACAAGAAAATGGAAGAGAAAAAAACAGCCCTGGTCAGCTGCTTGCCAGACAGGGGCTCTACTTACTGTACAACATTGCCTTTCAGTAAACCTGTACTGTGCATATGGGACTGGAATGCAGCAATACAAAAATTCAGCAAGAAGCGGGCTTGGGTTATGAATTATAGATTTAAGTGAGCTTGACCAACCAGTATGTTAAAAAGCCTTTAAAATTTGAAGGAATGCAATAGACAATTTACAGAGAACTGGGACATCAAGATTTTGTGTAAGATTATATTTAAAAGTTTTAAAAGCAGCAATGAACTTCCCTTCTGAGAATTAGCTGTTTTCAGACCACTAGCTCAGTCTTGCCACAAAAAAAACCCAAAACACACTTCCTGTTCATAGTATAAACTCTTTGATGACTACTTTTATAAGTGAAATGTTTTTAAGGTGTATCTATTATTGCAGTTGATTATGGCATCTTTTGCTTCTGAGAACAACTGAGTTAAAAACAGTTTTAAAGGACATGAAAATGAAAGCCCAGCTTTATAAAATTCTGTATTAATAGATGTGTTTTTAATACACACATACAAATAGCATGCAAGCATGGTAATTAAGTGTACAAATTAGGGGCCCAAGCCAATGCCCAGAGAAAGCCTTCCTACTGACTGCAAAGGACACTTGATTTTCCCCAGGCTTACATACCTAGTTGCCAGGATGATGCACTAGTGTGTGTGCAATTCTATTTGTGCAACTGTATACAGAGTTCTAAAAATCTGGCAAATAAAGTTTTCCTACTTCTAATGACAATTTGTGGAGACATTCAGGCAAATTAATTCATGCACATACCTGTCAGCCTCAGGGTTTTGATTACTTACAGAGAGCAATTAAGTTAAAGTTAACAATTTTCTCTCTAACTGCATAGAAGGTCAAATGCAACTACTGCTTCATATTAATGACTGATTGGGGATAGTATTTTCAAAAGTGCCTAGATCCCACTGACCAAATCACACTACTACTAACCCCTAGCCCAGTTTTGTCTAGTAAAGTTAAAACATTTCCTGCCTCAATATAGTCTTAACAGCAAGGTACAGACATTACACTTTTACCAGTATAAGATATTGAAATCTGGTTTATACCCATAACAGAACAGAAGTTCGGCACATAAAACTGGTTATACCCATAATAGAACAAGAAGTTCAGGACACAGACTGGTTTAAAAATAGCAGAACCTGGTCTAATTTGCCCCCCCCCCCCTCCGCCAAGGCAAATGTGTGTTCTGTTCATTACCAATCTAAACTATGCTGCTTACAAAACATTGTGTAACTTAGATCTGTTCTGCCTTAGGCTTTTCTAATGTCTGTACCTAGCTCAGTAAAGAAAACTGATTAATTCCTGTTCTCATCTAAATAAATATATATACAAACAGTAAAGAATAAGGCTGACACCTTTAAGGGTATAGTCCAATGTGTGTTGGACTATATAACACAAAGGAGTAGTGTTATATAACAGTAGGTTGCCTCCATCTCAAGACTCTTCTTCCATTATTTTGGAGACGCACTTTAAGGTGTTAGCCTTATCTTTCCTGACAGTATATCTATTTACTTAGATGAGAACATGAATGAATCATTTTTCTTTATTGAGCTTGAATCTGACCCTTAACATATATGAACACATGCAAAAATTAGTTCTTTTAAGAGATACATGGAAAATAAGCCCACATATCTCTTAAAAGGTCATATTTCAGGATAGGATTTTCAAAAATAACATAAGTGATTTGGGAGCTAAGTCCTTACCGAGTGTCAGTGACACTTCTGCTCCTGATTTAGGCACTTTTCAAAATCTCACACATGTCCTTAAACTATAGTATTAGAATCTTCACTTTACAGCTTCAAATCATGTATTCAGTATTATTTATGTAAGATAAGGGATATCCTTAATTGATACTTAAAAAAAAAGAGTTAACAAAATGCAAAACAAAAGAGGAACAAAAACTTTCACATCCTGTAGAATTAAATGAACTTTCACATTTTTTATATTAGTGTCTCTATTAAATCTACACTATATGTATTCTACTCTACATAGGTTTTTTGCTCGGAGTTAAAGCACAGCAATTTCATAAAGACAGTGAAGAATCCTGCCTGCTGTTCCTATAAGGGGAATTAAAGTAATCCACTTCATGAAGTTAGTAAGAACTCTGGAGGGTGCTCGGTGAAGTCAAAGGTGGTTCTGGCACAAAGGATAGCCCAGGACAAGGGCAGAGAATGTCCTTGAAAAGGGTATTAAGATGGGGGCTCAGACAGAAAGAAAGCTGTCTTGAGGCATGTGTGAAAATAGATCAGAACAAAGATACAAACAAGGCCAAAGCTCTGAAGGGCCTTAGTGGTGAAGATGTGAGGCTTGAATTTAACTCAGAAAATGAGGAAAGAATCTGATGATGAGGAGCTGGAAAAAGGAGCAGCATGTCCATTGCATAATTTTCCCAACAGCATTTTTAGTGAATCAGAAGGTGTAAAACAAGCCCGACAGCCAAAGCTAACAGGGGTCAAGGAAGAAGATGACCAGGACTGGCTGAAGGAAAACTTCTAGCAGGATGGACTGATTTTGGAGGTGTAACCTCCAGCATTTCCAGCAGGGCACAGATACAGCACACACTTCCAACAGTAGAAATTTCCATTGTACATCTCACAGCACAGCAGCAGAATTTTCAGTTAGCAGCATTTATCCATTTGTGTGATCCAAAGGCAGGCAATGAGTGGGGCAACAGACAGAAAGAGTGAACCACTTGTTCCACAGGGTAATGGAGTAAATAACTGATTGTGGGTGGGCAGAAGAGCCAATGGATAGAAGTTCTGGGACCAATACAAATCAGTAACAAGCAAGGGAAATGAACCACAAGGACCAATATGACTCGCTTACTGGTGTCATTTTGATAATTCTGTAATTGTGTTTTAGTAACAATATATATGGTGTTACTCTCTCCATGTACGAAAGAAGAATGGACCCAGTGGCCACCCTGAAAACTGTGAAAACAATTGTAGGGCTGGGGAGGGGAACTGAGCTATCAGGCTCAGTTCTTTTCCCCAGCCCGATCACAGCGCTTGGGAGGGGAACTGAGCCCCGGCTCGGTTCCCTTCCCTTGCGCTGTGATCGGCTTCCTGCACCCCGGGGGCGGGAGACGGGGAGAGCCAGGGCTGCATTCCCGGCTGCTGCTGGGAGCGCAGCCTTGGTTCTTCCCTGTCTCCCACCACCTCACTGCTGGCTTCAAAACTTGAAATGTTTCAAAACTTTTGAAACATTTCGACTAGCTTCATTTTGTTTCGAGGCTGTTTCGAAGCCCTTTGTTTCAATTCGATTTTGCTGTTTTGAGCTTGAAATGTGTTGAAACAGTGTCGAATCGAAACAGCCGGATAAATTTCACACAGCCCTATTGCCATGTTATCTCCCCCTCTCATGGGAGTATTGTGGCAAAAAAATGTTAAAGATCATAGAAAGAAGCATTTAAGAGGGAATGCAGGAGCAAACCCCTAGGGAGCTATGCTGCTTTACACCAACTGGACCATATCACTTTAATCTATGTATTGAGTTAACATATTAGGCAAATTATAAATATCGAATACTTACTAAAAAGTGAACAAACTCCTTAGACATTTTGCTCTCCCTGTTAAACTATTTGGGTTTGTTTTATTTTGAAAATACATAAGCACCTAGTTCACATGATGGACTGACAAACTAAGTGCAAATCAGGGCTGGGTGAGAATGGATTTGTAGATTCACAGAGACAAAGCACTTCTAATCCTAATAATAAGGTCCACAAATTCTTAGGGCACCTATTACACTATATAACATTTTGAGACAGACTAATCAAAGAGCACCCTAAATGAGCCAGACCTGAAATATAAGCAGGGAATATAGAAGGGATTAGAAGAAGATAAGAAGGGATATAGAAATAGCTACAGAAGCGAGAGTCCAAATATCTCTTAAAATAAAAACAAGAACGTGGAAAACGAAGCCAGTCAACGAGCAAAAAGGCTTCCATGATTCTCCTTCCATCTGAACAAATTACAAATGAGAAAATTACAGTAAGTTTAAAGGGGGCAGGGTGGGGCAAACTAACATGTGGTAACCTCCCATGAATCTACTCTTAACCTGTGGTAAAATGAAGTGAAAACTAAACCAATGTCATCCTGTCTCATGGAATGCTAATCTGCCCCAGCCGAGCTCTCACTTACCACAGGGTAAGGGAGTGGGTACCCACACAACTGGCGTGCATCAGCTGTTTCACAGTAAGTTCTCGTACTCCTTAAACTTACTGCAATTAGTTTATTTATCCATGCCTTTGGCATGCTTAGCTCAATTTATTTTCACTGAATTATTTCTGATTTTAGTTGGTGTAGCTGAAAAGAATTCAGCTCAGGCAAATAACAGTCAGGATTAGCTATGAAATTGAATTTTGCATTACAGAATGCAACTGTAATGCATCTGTCTACTGTATAAAATGGCTCTGGGAATCAACCATGAAATGGGAAAGCACTCTCTTAAATTCTCTCTCTCTGTCCCACAAGCAAAACAAATCCGGTTAACTTTGAGAAAGGAAATATACCCATTTAGCCAGCAAACAAATAAACAGTGAATTAGATTATGATGGTGCAACAGGATGCCTGGAGTGTTGCAAACTGCCCTGCCAAAAACCCCAGTGTGGTAGATAGTGCTGGTCAGAAATTCTCTGACAGCACACACTTTTTTTTCAATTACAGAAACCTGATCATCAAAATCAAACTTTTTTTTTTTGAGACAGCTTGAGTCAAAAGAAATTGCAACAAAACAAAACAAACCAGGCAAGGTTCCAACAGCAATCTGTCTGGTTTTCTGCCAGCTCACTCATCTGACTCCACAACAGTGTGCCTAGTAGGTTCCTAGGAATTCCAGGTTTCCAGCTCCTTAGCAATCTGCCTGATAGACTGACGGGGAACTGAAAGCACTGAAAGCCCCCAACTATATTAGCTACTTCTGAACTTTTCTGTCTGCTGCTGAAGAATGGGCATCTCAGGACTCCCAGCTCCTTTGATGAAATGCCATCATACATTTCATAGACATCAGGGGCTGGAAGGGACCTCGTGAGATCATCGAGTCTAGCCCCCTTGTCATAGGCAGGAAGTCAGCTGGGATCAAGTGACTCCAGCAAGAAATACATCCACATGTTTTTTGAAAGAGTTGAGAGTAGGTGGTTGCACCACCTCCTGGGAGGAAGTTTGTTCAGACCCTGGGCACTCGCACCGTAAAGAACCTTTTTCTTATGTCTAGTCTAAATCGGCCTTCCTGCAGTTTATGGCTGTTAGACCTTGTTATCCCTTATGGAGCTCTGGTGAACAGCTGTTCTCCCAGGTCCTGATGTACCCCTCTTAGATAATTGTAGGCTGCCACCAAGTCCCTCCTGAGCCTTCTCTTTTTCAGACTGAAGAGTCCCAAATCCCTCAGCCTTTCCTTGTACAGCCTGCCCTCTAGGCCTTGGATCATAAAAGTGGCTCTCCTCTGGACTCTCTCAAGATTTTCAACATCCCTTCTGAAGTGGGGGGCCCAATACTGGATGCAGTACTCCAGCTGCAGTCTCACCAGGGCCGAGTAAAGCGGGAGGATGACTTCCCTGGTTTTGCTTGAGATGCACTGGTGGATGCAAGCCAGAGTTTGGTTTGCTTTGCCAGCCACAGCATCACATAGATGGCTCATATTCATCTTGTGGTCAATCAAGACCGCCAAGTCCCTTTCAGTCGTGGTGCTAGCGAGCGTAGCACTGCCAAGCCTGTAAGTATGTTGAAGGTTTTTCCTACCAAGGTGCAGCACCTTACACTTCTCTACATTGAAGGCCATCAGGTTTTGGTTGGCCCACCTTGAGAACATGTCCAAGTTGGCCTGTATCCCCAGCCTGTCCTGTGGTGTGACCACACTCCCCCATAATTTGGTATCATCTATGAACTTTGCCAGTTCGCATCTGACTCCCGAATCCAAATTGTTAATGAAGACGTTAAAGAGTACCAGCCTACGTACCGAGCCCTGAGGGACTCCACTAGTCACCCTGTGCCATGCTGATTTGCTCTAATCAACAGTTAGGGTTCAAATCATACCCACCTCCTGAAAGCCCTGACTCCTCAGTTTGTAGCTCTTCTACAACCTGGGCTCACTAGGGCATATGACTCAAAGGGATTCCACCACGCAGAGGGCCTGGGAGTCAGGGACCCCAGTGCTTCTAGAATTTCAAACTTTCTGGGATTTGTCCCTTATTTTTTAAATGTGAAAATCCAGGTGGATTTACTTTTATCTGCATAGCCTGAATCGTGGTAACAGGGGTTTGAATAAATGCCAGACAGCCAGCATCAGTGATCATAGGCTGTTCGATTTCAATAGCTAAACTTATTAATTGAAAGAGAGTTAGAATGATTCCAAAGTACATTATAAATCAGTATATGTAGAGTTTGGCTAGAGCTGAGTGAAACAAATAGAACTGTGGTACCCTTGCTGTTGGCACCAAACAAGTAGGTAGAACGAGACAATGTATGTCGTGAGATTTTGAAATCCCTGGCTGATGACTGATATTTTAAACTGGTTCTTGTCTTGAAAAGTGTATGTGTGTTTATATGTATGGGAATGGGAAGCAGATAGAAAGAGGAATTAAGACACGTGAAACAGCCCCTCTATGATCTCTGCCTGTTCCACTACCACTAAATATTAATACTGTAACATTGACCATAAATCACATTTGTACCATACTTACTGAAAAGTCATCATTGGGGAAAAACAGGAGATCTTTTAGAGGATAATCCTCAAAGTTTCTTTCAATCTCTGTGATGACAGCTTCATAATCCAAAGGCTCCAAAAATTTGGGTTTATCCTGCTGTGACAGAAAGATAAGAAACAATGTTACGTCTCAACTCTTGTATTCTCCTTGCATTTATTAACTGCACCATTTTCCATTACTCTTTGTACATTAAGGTATTAATGAATTTTGTTATGTATAGTCACATAATGTAGCTGCTGAGCTGAGCACATCCATGTTAGAACACCGTACGAGAGCCAGCATGACCCGTCATAACATTCATTTTCAATCTGATTATTTCCTAATAATCTGTCTGCTCTGGAGGTAATAGTAAAGACCATCACAGTGTCCTGCAGCATTGTAGAAACCTATTCATTATACTCAGGAATTCTTTTTTTAAAAAGAACTATTTCAACTGAAAATAGACAATCTTATTGTGAGTGACTCTGTTGCAAAATGAATTACTTACTTTAATTTCAATTATTTCCATTAGCTGAATGCTAATTCACTCCCTTGCCCTTTTTTGCACTGACACTTCTTAAATGCTGGTAGCTTGCTAGGAGTAAAAGTACCACTGCACTGTTTTACTTGGCAGTAACCCAGTTTCCCTTTCAGGATAAACTATTTGGCATTCAGCCTCATGGTTTCTCCTGTCAGGAGACGGATTATTCCTTGGTAAACCACATCATAATAGCATGATTATTGCCTGAGGGGGTGGTAGAATGAAAAGAGCTCAATGGTAACAGCCAGATAAGAGGTAAATTCAAACTACCTCAATATATAGAACAAAAATAGAAATGAAAGAGCCCACCAAGAATTCAGGCACACTTTCACAGATAAAAAGCTCATGCATTAGAGACAGAATGAGAGACAACATCCGTCTAATTCTAAGAGTCTCTTTTTTTTAAGTAACAAAGCAACAGAAGGGAAAAGAAAGGTCAGAAAGCACTGTCACACATGACTTTTTCAAAGAAAATTCATGCAATATGTTGGTCACCATTAGAAAAAAATCCACACAACTGTCATAATATGCAAGACCTGGTAGCACACAGCATTTTCCGTAAACCAAAACAGAATTCTCAGAAAGAAAAATTTTCCCTACTTATGAAACTGGTTTCTCCAACAAAGTATTTGACATTTTGCATCAACGAGTCTTTCAACTTGCTCCATTGACATCCATGAAACTTCTTCCCAGCTCAGTATTTCCCCCACTTTGATAAATTGGATTCTTCTGTAGCTTTTCAACATAGATATTAAAAATGTAAACAATAATAATGGACCTGGGCATCAGGGACTACCATATTGGGATCTAAAGGTACCTTAGGAGGGTACCAGATTGTTGAATAGTTTAGCTTGGAAACCTAATTTATAGGTAGGGAAATTTTTCTTTTCTATTCCAATTCATGCAATAGCTGGATCCAGTGAGCTTCAATGATGCCCAATAGTTTGGGAGGCCTTTACAAAGCAGTAACAGCTGGCAGTAACAGCCTCCCGGAAAAGCATCTGCTTAAGTCAAGATTGCAGGCACCTTCTCTTTTGAAAGATCTTATTAAAAAATAAGCATCATTAGATTTATCTATTTTAGCTGTTCTTTATTTGATCTGCAACAATCTCTGATAACAGTTTTACTGCCCATTTTCAAGTGATGACTTTCACATGCATAATGGGGCAAAAAAAAGAATTGTTCTAAATGATATTTAGCTTAGGCTGTATCTGTCTCTTTTCCAGAAATGGGGAAGGGCATTTTGTGCCCCAAAACTTGTTTAACATCTTTACTGAGTATGAAATGGGTCTAATAAAAGGTATCACTAGACATGTCAAAAGGTAGGTAAAGGATAACCCCTGGCAATACTAAGCAATGATTTGGTCAAAGGCCACCTCTTCAGTTCATGGGAAGACCAATCCACAAATGATGCTTGGAAAAGGACTGTGAGACACTATATGAGGAAATCATACAAGACCATACAAGACTATCCATCGTCTGGAAACCTTTGAGACTAGATGTGAACTACTTACTGTGACCCTACAGACCATGGCTTGAGAACCACTGGAGTAGGAGACAGGCAAAAACTTAGAAGACCGAATTCTTAGAATGATTTGAAAGGCAGACTGAATTGGGAATAAATTCTGGGACTTTTCTGAGAACCACTAAATGGAAAAGGAAAACTACCTCCAATTCACCTGTACAAAGGTGAGAGAGAGAGACCAGGGGTATAATGGCCATAGGCTCAAAAAAGAGGATGGGAAATGCTGGAACCTAAATTTTGATTCTATGGTGGGACTGCAGGATTGAAGTGTTAGTTTCACGCAGCAATATAAGTCAGTGGCAGAAATGTGTCCCTGGAGAAGGCCTGAAAAAATCAGGTCCAACTTTGATTAATGAACTCTAGGTTCAAAGTTATTGTAACTGCCTTGGGTGTGAAGTTTCTGTCTACACTCCCTTAAGGAAAAAAAAATCACCCACATTCTAGTCTATGGTTTGGAAGTAACTGTACAAAGAGCTAGCAGCAAAAAGACTGCAGCCACAACAGGAAAAATGTCACGTAGGTAGATGATTGATCACTCTGCCCAACAAGTTAAAAAAAACAAGAATCCTTTTGGTCCACACTGTTTCTTAAGTAGGGACACAAATAGGATGGCGATGACTGCTGACTTTTTAATGCAATCCATATAATATCTATTGAGTTTATTGAGCTGTCATTAAAATCAATGAAAAGATTTTCACTGATGTCAGACGATGACATAATTTTAAAATTTGCTTTTATAAATTGTATGCTGATTACCTTATGTCCCTAGTCTTGAACTCCTATTGTATTCTAAAAACCAGTCAGAAACTTCCTTTCAGAACATCTGACAGTGTAGCTATTCCAAGGGATCAAAAACCTGGAGTCAGGTTTCAAAATCATAAGATTTAAACACTTTTTAAATCTGGAGTTCATTTGCTTAATCATTTTAGATTCATTTTACAGGAAAGCAGTTGAAATCATGATGGTAAGAATTTCCTTCTTAAAATATAATTTAAAAAAATTTTAAACTTATTTATTTTTTAAAGATTTTCATGCAAACACACAATTCTAACAATTGGAGCTTTCTAAAAAACACCAAATCCAAGGAAACAAATTATCAAATCATGGGTGTTAGTCGCACTGAATTTAACTTTACTGCAGAGGTAACTGGCACTCAGAGGATTTGGTAAGCCTAGCCCAGATCCTGTAACATGGCTACACCAGGGTTACTATGTGCTCACGGTTTCTGCACTTGCCCTTGTGTCTCAGGATATATCCAGCAGATGCTCTGGGATTATTTTCCAGTCAACTCTATAAAATTTGGAAGCTATCGTTCAGGGGAACTATGGGAACTGACAGAGCGCAGATTTAGGCTGGACATCAGGAAGAATTTCTTCACGCTAAGGGTTACCAGAGTCTGGAATGGGCTTCCAAGTGAGGTGGTGCTCTCCCCTACCTTGGGGGTCTTTAAGAGAAGACTGGACAAACACCTGGCTGGGGTCATTTGACACCAGCACTTTCCTGCCCAAGGCAGGGGGTTGGACTCAATGATCTATTGAGGTTCCTTCTGATCTCAGAAAATCTATGAAACCTATCAAATCTATGAAAGGCATTGAAGGGCTATTGTATACACCCCTCTGCCCCCTTTGCAAAGGTAGAAACCTTTCAGGCAGAGTGAATGTGAAGCTCAGATTTTAAGCTCTATGCCCCACTCATGCAAGTCAGCCAGGGCTCAAAGCTAGTAAGAGTGTTTCCTGTGTGAATGGTAAGGGGGTTTTGGCTAGGACCTTAGTTAACAATAATGGGAAAACACACCCACTGCCTCCTTACTATGAGCCTAGTGCGCAAAGAGCCAATTGTGTAAATTATAGAGACTGGAGAGGCAAATTTGCTAGCATTTAAATCACTGAGAAGGAACCCAATATAAAACCTGGGGAAAGAATACATACACATGCTGGGTTACAACTCTTTTTGGTATAAATTTTACATTCACTTTGGACAAACCCACATTTAAAAAATAAGGAAAAGCATGCAAGATATAAAGAAGAAATAAAGTGTCATCTACAGCAGCTGCTTAAGAGGAAATGCAAAGTAAAAGTGGAAAATACATGCCCAGTGAATCATAGTGTATGTTTCACACATGCATTCATTCTCCTGTGTTATGGCTTCCCAACCCACTCACCCCTCTCCCCACACACATGCCAGAATGTTGATGCCTCTCTGGCAAGAATCAACCTTTCCTCAGGCCTACACAAATCTGCTAAATTGTATTGCCAGTGAGCAATATGAAACATCACAGACTGGTCATCCTAATGCAGTAGCATACTGAAATGATTTGGGGACTTCTACAGCACTACGGGCATTCCCTGAAGTGTGGAGCATTCCTACAAAATTCAGTGTGTGTTATGTTATTTCCCTGTTCTCCATCCAACCACATGGCCAGCATGCAGTGGCATGGAATTATTTTATATCTGGAAATCTCTGTGGGGTTAAAAATGGATGCCAAGTATAACCCATGCCCCTTAAAAAAGCTAAGCCTCAAGGTCACAGAGACTGTACACTGGAATCACTGTGGAGCGGGAAGAGAAACAGAACACATTCAAGAGATTTCATTATGGAAGAACTGCTGAGCATTACCACAACCAGGGCTTAGTTTTCCTTACTCTCACAGATGTTAGGGGATTTAGATGCTAGAAAGAACGTGCTACAGAAAAGCCTTGGGCAGAGAGGGGAAGGGAGTTGTAGAGTGACAACATGTACACAGTTTCAGCAAATCTCCTTGCATTTCCTCGTTCTCTAGGATGAAAAGCAAAGAGAATTCTATTTCTAGTCAAGACAGAAATCTTAAAATAAAATGTTAAGGATCAAAAATCAATCCACCATATACTGTAGTATTGCTGCAACACAAGGTTGCAGATTACCAATAGGGCCTATAACTGCTGCACAGCGTCCTGATGTTGTAACATTGCATCACAGCATTGTAGCCTAGCACAAGAAAGACAATCAAAATGTAGTTGTCATCCACTGATCTTCATAAAGGGCCATTTCTATCAATTAATACACTGTTGCATT